GGCAGCATGCGCTATTGTCTTTTCACAAAGAGTCATACCACGCCGACCAGAAGGCCTTTTTAGAAGTAAACCACGTGTGGGTACTGCATTAGTGATACGATCCTCTGCATTAAGACCTTCCAAAAACCCCTCAAGTACCTCCACGACTTTATCGCCGACTTGGACTGTAGTATGTGCACCATTCAAATCTTTGGTGCGATAACCCAAACCACCTTGCTCCTCATCATCCAATACTTTTCGTACGGCATCTTCAACTGCTTTTGCTTCACGGCTCAAATTCAATGAATACCTAAGCAACATAGCAACACTTAGAATGGTTGCAATAGGATTTACTATCCCCTGACCAGCAATATCAGGGGCAGAACCATGAATAGGTTCGTATAATCCAAGACATTTACTTTTACCATCAGGCAAACCACTAAGACTGGCGGAAGGTAAAAGGCCAAGGCTACCAGGAATGACACTTGCTTCGTCACTTAAAATATCGCCGAATAAATTCTCAGTAAGAATAATACCATTAAGTGACTTGGGATTTTTCACCATGAACATAGCGGCGGCATCAATGTAGTGATGTTTGAGAGGAACGGTAGGAAATTCCTTCTCAATAGTTTCAGTGACAACTCGACGCCAAAGGCGAGAGGTGGCAAGAACATTTGCCTTGTCAAGCGAATGTATTGTTGCCGGTGGGTTTTTTTCGAGCGCTAGATGTGCGGCCAAGCGAGTTATTCTTTTAACTTCGTCAACCGAATATGGTAGGGTATCCAATGCTATTAAATCATTTCAAATTAATCGGATATAAATTACGTCCTTTATTAATAAATTATATTTACCTTGACCATTCTCATCCTCTTCTTTTCTGTCACCAAAATAAATTCCACCGACCAGCTCACGAATTATTATGAACTCAGTATCTTTAACCACACTTTCCTTCAAAGGAGAATATGCAACTAACGAATCACTCGCAAAAAAGCAAGGACGAATGTTAGCATATAAATCAAGAGCTTTACGGATATCTAATAGTCCTTGTTCTGGACGAGGGCCAACACCTTTCGATGGGTCATTGGGATCAATAGGACGAGGCCATGCGGGTCCGCCAACAGCACCAAGTAGGATTGCGTCAGATTCTTTAGCGGCTTTCAAGGTTTCTTCAGGAAGCGGTGAACCTAAGGTAATTTAATTTAGTTCATAATTATCGTGTGAAAAAATTTCTAATTAGATAATTTTTTATCTTCGAGGTTCTTGGATGCTTAAGCTTAAAATTTTTCTATATGGCTTTTAGACAGTTAATTTGTCATTTACGCACCCGTATCATCAATGGCTGCACCGCCAATTTTCCCCTCTATAAGCTCAATTTCCACACCATTATACTTTGTTCTCACTTTAGAAACAGTTTTGAGAATTTTAAGACCTTCTGAGACTACTTCAGGACCTGCATTGTCACCGGGGAGGACGAG